TTAACTACAAAGGACATATAAAGGAAAATGCTATCTGCATCCAGAGAAAGAACTGATAAATAGAAGTATGTATAGAATGATTTTACATGTATATACATATTTGTTTCTAATGGTAGCCATCGCGGGGGGGTGAGGGAAGAAAAAAGGGGAAAAAAGAAAAAGAAAGTTACATGATAACTTTATTATATATTTCAAAGGAATAGCGAGTCGTACATAATAGATTCGCAGTTTCATGTACAATCATCTTTTTTTCTATTCTACTATGTTACGGAAATACTTGTTTTTATTTCTTAAGTCCAGAATAAAATAAATAAAATTAAAAAAACAAAAGATCAATGGAAGGACAAATAAAAATGATACTGTGATCCAAGTATGCTACAGACTACCTGGCCAGAAAGTGGAATTAGATGAGAAGTCTAGGAAATAAACAAAGCACAGGTCTGTGACAGAGGCATGATATAGTAGCGATGAGAAACCTCAACTATTAAGTTATATTCTGGAGCCCTTTCTCTGCCAAAAGCAGAGGAGCTAATAGTTTTTATAAGCTTATAGAATCACAAATTTAGAGAAATAGGAACTTTGGAGGTTATCTTGTCCAACATCCTCATTTTACAGTTGAAGAAATGGAAGCTCAGAGAAGTTTGCCTTAAGTAACTTCCCTTAATCATAATGTCATCTTTCAAAAAGTGAAAGAACCAACAAGGATGAATTCTATTCTGGAACTGATAATCATCAATGGGGAGAAACTGATTAGTGGAGAGGCAATGATCAGAACCTAGGTGAGGGGAAGTAACTATTCCTTCTGAGAGTTTATGACAGAGAAGGAGACACTTGGTGTCTAAAGTGCTAGAGTTCAGAATAAACTGGATCATAAAAGCTAACCACAATGAAAAGGCTGTGGGTTTTTTTTTTTTTTTTTTACAAATATCAGGGAAAAGAGCAAGATCAATGAAAGGATAGGACTATTATTCAGGGAGGATAGGATGATGACCCATGACAAAGCGAAGACAGAGCTGCCAAATTATTATTTTGCTTCTGTTTTCTCTGCCAAGGAGATTGACCTCTGGGCAAGAAAAGACATAAAAATGCTGAATATTAAGTTGATACTCAAGATAAGCAAAGAAATGGTGAGAGAACACTTAATTGTTCTTGATGAATTCAAGTCACTTGACCCAAAATGAACTACAACCTTGGATACTTAAAGAAATAATGAATTGATTACTGAGTCACTCCCAGTGACCTTTGAAAGCTCAAGGGGGAGTGGGAGAGGTACCACAGAATTGAGGAAGGGAAAATTTTCCAAAAAAAATAAAAGAAAAACAAATGGGAAGCTGCTAACTGTAGGCTAGTGACTTGGCTTCCGTTTCTGGGAAAATTCTAGAATGTAACATTCAATACAGATGGCCATCTTGAAAAGCTCTGGATATCAATTTGAAATTCTGTAAGAAAAATGACTGAACTGTTAGACCTTGGATCCAGTGATCCCTCTCTGGGCACCCTTTCCATGGAAGTCAAAGACCAAAACAAACATCCAACATAAACCAAAATATTTATAATAGTACTCACTATACAAAGCATAGCAAAGCAATACTCACTATGGTGGCAGCAAAGAACTGGAAATAAAGTGGGTATCCATTAACTGAAGAATGGCAGGAAAACTCTGGCATGTGAATGTAATGGAATATTGTGCAGGAAGAAATGAGAAATATAAGGAATTTGGTGAAATATGAGAAGATTGATATAAACTGATGAAGAATGAAATAAGCAGAAACAAGGGAACAATATCCCCAGTTATTATAGCAATGTAATGAAATGATCACTAAAAGGAAGAGGAATTCTGAGGAGCTGAAAAACTAATGAAGGTCCTAGAGAATAGATAAAGAAACATCGATTCCCCCTCACAGCAGAGAGCAGGGGTGCGAGGGCCTGCTAGGACAAAGTACTGCATGTTGTCATATCTGATCCTTATATTGGGTGTTTTTGCTTGTCTTTCTTTGTCAGATGTGAGGGTTCAATCTGCAGGCAGGAGTTCAAATGACACAAAGTTAGGAGGAATAGTTAATCTACTAGATGAAAATTAAGATCCTGACAGGTTAGAAAATTGGGCTGAATGTACTATGATGAAGTTTAATGTAGCTAAATAGGAAGTCTTACACTTGGGGTCAAGAAATTAACTCTAGAAGCACATGGTAAGATGACAATTTGTCTGAAAAATATTTGAGGATTTTAATGGACAGCAAGATCAGTAGAATAGGTCATATGATTTGGCAGTCAAAAAAACATAAAACAAATAGGTGAGGCAAAATTGTGACAACCAGAATGGTGAAGGGCCTGGGTGCCGTGCCACGTGAGCACCAAAGGAAGGCACCAGGGATGTCTGCCCTGGAAGAAACATGAGAGTTGCCTTCAAATACCTGGAAGTCAAGAAGAGTCATTAAGCTTGTTATTTTTGGCCCCATCCCCTCCCACGGATGAAGCTCTTGTTGGGTTGCACCAACAGCTCTTACTGTACCCTCTGCCATGCTCCTCTGCTTGAGTCCTCTTTGCCCTTGATGTGACTCTTTCCCCATAAGCAACTTGATTTTGTGGCATAAGTGATTTAGCTTCATCATTCTAGGAATGGAATTAAAGGCTCCCAAACCTTTCCCAAGGGAATTAGTTGGACTTAGCAAGTAATTCCGAAATATGCTGTACAATAGGAATTGATCAGGTGGACATTCTGCATGGGTTATATAGAGTATTGTATAAATGCATACTCAGGGAGAATAAAGAATTCATAAATCCCAAAGGATGAGCTAAGGGATTTGCATTTGTCTTGGAAAACCCCAATCTCCTGAGTTCCCTAGTGCAAAGCACTGTCAACAGTGGCTGGATGGGTTTTATATTTCTTTGCAGATTACTTCTTACTCTATTTTTTCTTCCATTCTAATATTTTATTAACATTCAGGCTGGTCACGATCCTCCTTCATGCTCTCTAAAAACTAAGCTGCTAAGTAAGATTTAAATTTGCTTGTCTGTTTATTATTAGAGATCAAGATCGGAAAAGATCCTATTAACACACACACACACACACACACACACACTCAGGAGCCCAAGCAGATTGGTCTGCAAATATAGAACTCCCTCAATGATCTTTGCTAATTGAAGGAAACAAATAGAACAAATAATTTAAAACTCACTTAGGAAGGTACCTATGAATGTGCTCACCTAGCTCCCTTCTCATTGTGAATGCAATGGCCCACCTGGGTGTGTTTGAGGAGATTCTGTGACTGACTGGTTAGAAAGACCATAACAAGAAGGAGAAGACAGGTAACTGGGCACCTCTGTAATGTGAATCTGCAATGTCAATCCCACAGGCATGGATGAGAGCCCTGAACACATACTTCTGTATTTATACTTCAATGATATCACCATGGATGTTCTTTCCACCAGTACAGATCATAACCTAATCATGCTTTCTCATCCTTGTTCACTTTTTCCTATAAATTTCCCATAGAAGATCCATCTAATACATTACAAGTCTCAAGTTTACCTAAAGATCCAAATGAAGTGGATGTTATTTGAATTTCAACAAAACTCTTGTGATCTAGCTAATCGTTTTTATTATATACTCTAAAGATTCCATCCAAACCTGAAAGCCTTTTTGTGAGCCCAGAGGTGTCTCCTATGTGATGGTAGCACCAAGAATTCATCCTTTATTTTCTAATATCTGGGCAGAAGTTATTCAACTTGAAAATTTCCTTTTTTTTCCAGATGATCATATTCTATAAAACATTTTTTTTCCATTAATTTTAGCTAGAGCTTCCAACCACTGCTGCTCCCTGGGTTGTCCTATTTCAATTTTACAAATATGCTTAAAGTTTAATAGGAAGAGAATGTTTCCCAAAGGCACCTAGTAATCCCTTTAGCCTATGGCCCACAACCAACCTGGCCATCTACAGAGATTCAAATGAGCAACACTTTATCCTAAGTTCACTCAAAAGGAGGGATAGGACAAATAATGAAGCAGGAAGCTTTCTGGGAGGCTGAGTCAACTTTGTACAGAGTCTTCTAATCGAGCTAAGTGCATATTTGATGGGACTAATAAACCAAATTAAAGAATATTGCACCTGGTTGGGATAAAGGTCAGTCTGGGGCCAAAGAGAATGTCAGTCAAAAGGCAACATTCATTTTGTTTTCCTGCACCTAAAATGCATTAGTTTGGGTAGTCTATATTTACATTTACTTTAGTAGATTAGAAAATCAATTCATTTCTTCAAGGTGGCTCTAATAAACATAGAAGAAGTGTTGGATCTTCTGTATAAAGAGCATCAACGATTATCAAAGTACATAAATTGCTCTCTGCCACTCTCTTCTCAAACCTGAATTTGTTGGTCCTGGTTCCCCTTCACATTTCCTACTCCAGGACAAAGTGTGTTGCCTTTCAAGCCTATGTGCGTGTGGTCATATACATGCACATACAGGCAAACAGATACACACGAATGCATGATGCCCTCACCACCACCCCAACACACACACACATTCTCATTCTATCTCTCTCTCTCTTCCCACGCCCCCCCCCCCCCCCCCATGGTAGGTATCTAGTTGAGAAGCCAGGCTGGTAATGCAGAGGGATGTTAGTAGTAGGGAGAGGGGAGAGCTTGTCCTTAGGGGAGTCATCCTGGGCACATCACATACCTTCCCTTTGTTGAAATAGTGAATGATCTTTCGGCACAAGCTCTCTTTTCGCTGCCACTCAGTCTGGGGTGGGTAATGCAGGAATTCGCGAAGTGGTCGATCCTCCCACTGGAGTAACTCACAATACAGAAGCAGAGTAAATGCAGCCTCTGTGCGAAGACAGAGCAGTGAACCTTCAGCCAGGAGGCTCAAAATGTTTTAATTTAGAAGTCCAAATTACATGTTGGTATGCTGGGCAAGGTTACAATCAGAAACACACAAACCAAGGAAAATAAACAAGCTCTTTAGAGTTAAGAAAACCCTGTAATGCCAATCCCTTACATTTAAAGAGATCACCGACCACAGAATTTTAGCTTTGGAAGGGAACCCAACAGCCATTTTATCATACAACCCACACCTGAAAAGGAATCCCCACTATATCATATCTGATAAATGTTCATTCAGCATAGAAACAGAAATTAGAAATAGAAATAGATTAGAGAAGAGAGACCCAGAGAAGAACTGCTTAGACCCATGGTGAAATGTCCTCAATATGTCAGAACCAAAGGTTCATTTGAACTCATCTATGATTTTCCCATCTGCTCTCACATCAATTGACGAGCAGTTCTAGTCTCTATAGCTAATGCAGGCTGCAAAAATTATCTTACGTGCTTACCCCTCCTAGGCTTGCAGATGAACAATGACTGCAGCAGACATGGCCTCACAATCTAGATCTCGTGACACTGTTCACTCCTTGTTCTTCTCCTACCTGTTTGACCCCTCCTTATCCATCTCCTTTGCTGGATCATCATTATCCTCTAACTCTGTCTTGGGTCCTTTTCTCCCCTCTCCGCTATTGGTGATCTCATCAGCTTCCATGGATTCAACCATCACCTCTATACAGTGACTCTCAAAACTACATATTGAAACTTAATCTCTCTCCTGAGTTCCAGTCAGGCCTGCACTGCCTGATGGATATATATCTCTACCAGATGGTCTTACAGATACCTCAAACTCAACATGTCCAAAAATATACCTCATTGTCTTCTCCCCAAACCCATCCTCCCTCAAACTTCCCTGTTTTTACCACTCTCCTTGTTGTTATCCAGGTTTACATCCTCAAAGCTATTCCTCAGCCCTTCCTCTCTTTCAAAGCCCAGACCCAATCAGCAGCTAAGTTTTATTTCTCTTGTCTCCCCATCTCTCCTATTTGTCCCCTTCTCTATGTTCAAGGTCAATACCTTAGGTGAAGTGTGTGTCACCTCTTGCCTAGACCACTGTAACAGACTTTTTTTGGTTTTCCTGTCTTTATGTTCTTCCCTCTCCACTTTCCCCAATCCATTCCTCACACAGATGTCAAAGTAATCTTCCTAAAGTTCAGGTCTGACTATGTCATTCACCTGACTAAAAGCCATCAGCTTTATTACCTTATTACCTTTACATTAAAATAAAAACTCCATAATTTGGCATTTAAAGCCCTGTGCGATCTAACTCATCTCCTTTTGGACACTTTCTACTCCTCCCCTTCATGCATTTTACATTCTAGACAAACTGACCTAGTTTCTATTCTCCAAGCTCAGCATTTCATCTTTGTGCCTCTGTACATGCCTGGAATGTATTTCCTCCCCTTCTCAGAATCCTTAGCTTCTTTGAAGGTTCAGCTCTGATGTTAATCGTTTTCAGACATGTGCAACTCTTTGTGACCCCATTTGGGGTTTTCTTGGCAACGATACTGGAGTGGTTTGCTATTTCCTTCTCCAGCTCATTTTACAGATGAGGAAACTAAGGCAAACCAGGTGAAACGACTTGCCCAGGGTCACACAGCTTAGTAAGTGTCTGAGTCCAGCCTTCAGTCTTCCTGATTCCAGATCTGGCACTCCATCTGCCATACCTCCCAGCTCAGGTGTCACCTCCTATGGGATAGACTTCTTTCTCGATTCCCCCTATCTGTTAGTCCTTTTTCCTTCCTCAAATTATCTTGCATTAACTTATCTGTTTACATGCTTGCATCCCTCTTTAAAATATAAGCTCCTTGAGGGAAGGGACTGATTTCCCTTTCTGTCCTTCTATCCTCAATGACTAGCACAGTGCCTTACACATTACTGATGCTTAATAAATGCTTGTCTATTTGAATCACACCCTCACTACTAAAACATCTAGCTTCTCTTCTCCAATATTTTTGAATAGGAGAGGAATTTTTTTCCTGTTTGTTGTCAATAAGTTGATCTGTGAAATGGAGGTTGACCTTTGAATATGGAAATGCATCATTAAAATATCTCTAGCTTCTCCTTTGACTTCTTTGCCTAATTTGTTTGCACATCCTTTCTTCCCATCTTAGCATCCTCTAACAAGATTTAATACTGATGGAGCATTTCATTAATCTTTACTGAGCCAGCCAATCCTTTCAAATCCCACACTCAGCCAATGCTACTGTTTTGGAAATTACTCTTTCTCCATCATCACTTTCATTTCCAAATAGTGTGGTTTTAAAAATGGCATCCAAATGAAGGGGTGTGAGTGCCTGCCTATTGTGTGATTTGGCTTACAGCCCAACGCTGGGAGTCCCCTGCTCCAAGTGGCCTGAGCTAACACTGATGCCCAGTACTGAGGCACTGTGCCATCTCACTGTAAGAGGAAAAAATTAAGAGTTATTTAAAATAATACCAGTGAAATGATGTAGTTCCCCAAATTCTAAGGGATGACTCATATTGAATTAGAGCCACTGTTCAGGATTCTTATTAATCTATGTGACTAGCTAACCCTTCCAATTTCATTTGAACATTTTTGATAAGTTTCATATTGGCAAGGAAATGATTTCCAAACTCATCTTGCTCGGGTTTTCAGTCACTATTCAAACTTGCTTCCCCAAACTACATGCCATTCTTTTAGTTGTCCAACAATTCACCCTCAGAGGACCAGTCAAAATTCCCTTTTTTTTTCCAGACAACATCTCTGAGGAAGCTGCCTGGCTAGGATGCTGCTCATGTACCCCCTTTTCTCTCTATTGTCTCACATGCAATTGGTGCTTCATATATGTCCTCAGGATTTCTTATGAGTGTCTATGTTGCTTTGTCCCTGTGGGCAGGAATTGCAGGCTCTTCTTTTCTTATATCCCTTGCATGTCCCAGCACCTTTTATATAGTTCAGTCCATGCTGACTAGTTTTCCCTTTTGAAGCAGAAGCTATAAATACTTTCTGTTATTGCCTTTTCTCAGTACCGTTAAAAAGCAGCTCACTTAACTGTCCTTAGAGCCTGAGAGGAAATGGAGGTTTTGAAGATTTCATTTCTGGCCAATTGCTTTTCTATTCATGGAATGATACCCTAAAATGTAGACTGACCATCTTCTGAGATCTGGAGAATGACTAGGTAATGAAAATCTTTGACCCTCACAGTGGACTCTGGGACCACAAATTCATCCAAATCTAGCCTTTGGGGAGAAGATGTTATTTGTTCCTTTAGATCTGGGCTCAGAATTAAAACATGTTGGTAAGACCTGAAAGACCATTAGAAATCAAACTGTGTTACACCATTCACACAGAGATACAGAACTGTTCCCTGGGCTTTTAAACAACTTTTCAATAATTTTAAATTTAAATTTTACAGAAAGACACACACTTGGCATTTCAGGAAGTAGCGTAACATTTTCCACCATCAGTTAAACACAGGAATTGTTTTGCTGCTAAATGCCAGTGGTATCCTCATGAGAAGGGCTGAAATTATGTTTAAATATTGGGTTGCAGTCTGCTAAGAAAATTGTGATTGTACGGCTGGCAATTTTGTTAAGCTCCCCGTTTTTTGCTTTTTTTTCCCTTTCAGTTGTGATGGGAGAAGTACAAAGAATGACTGCTCTCACAGAACTTCAAAGGCAGACCCACAGAACTTAGAAGTAGAGATGAAGTAATGATGCCCTGAAATGATTGAGGATGTCCTTGGGGGCACAGTAAGTGGGGCAGCAATGAAGAGGAAGAGTAAATAACATAGGCATCAGCTGGGGCTGTAGGCAGGGTAGGGTGGCGTTGTCAGGATTTGGGTTGGTCTTCACTTCATCTCTAACACACTATGCTACTTTCCCTTCCCCTCTCTCTCACTAATATGAGCTTATGAACACACATTTATGGCTGTGATACCAAGAACGGGGAGGAGAAGAGTGTGAGGAAGGGACCCATCGGTTCTTTTATAACCTTTCTGGTGGTTGGAGTTCATAGGTGTTGAGTCTCTATTTTGCTCTGCTCTGTTCCCAATTCCTGAGTCTCTCAATGAAAGAGTCCTCCATGTTTTTTCCCTTCAGTGTTGCTGGGAGTGGGGAGGGGGAGGTAGCCAGTACTCACCAGTATAGTTTTCTGCCTGTAAATGCATGTCACACAGTTTGTGAATGTATCGGATGTACATTTCCTCTTTGTTGATTTCAGATTTGTAAAAGTTCTGTAAGAGTGAGATGAAATTCTTATTAAGAAGGGCATTGGAATTCTGGGACAAGCTGTCAGTTCCTGAGCTCATTCCTGTGTCCAGTGCAAGCCCCCTAACATCAGGGGAAGACTGGTGTTGTATCCACACCGAGGTGCATTCACACTGAAAGGTTGGGTATGAACCAGAGCCTAGGAGAAAGAGAGATGGAGGAAAAGGATACAGAAGAGCTTTCACATGGAATGCTAATTTCCTGTTGAGGAAAGAAAATGCTCAGAGCAAATTCTCCTTCACTGACAACTGTGTTGAGCAGGTCTCGAGGCCCCGTGCAGCAGGGCTGGGCCGACAATTCCTCTGCCACAGGTGGAAGCCATTCTACTCATCTGTGCATGTGAGAATGCACAGAGAAAAGCGTTGCCTGTTTTGGCACCTTCATTTCTAAGATGAGCAGCAAATATTTTGCTTTTTTTCCTCCCCAAATTATGATAGTTACATGCTACAGAGTACAGGAGAGAAAGAAATCTAGGCAAACTAAAGCGGACATTGGGGAGAAGTGCTGATCTACTTGCCATCAGATTAACCGTGCAGCCAATCTTCTTATTCTCAGTTTCATCTCCTTTCATGCAGTCCCTAGAAAGGAAAGCTCAAGTGAGATTTTTACAGTAGTATGATGCTTCTGAGCCAAAAGACAGGCCTGAATCATCACTGCATACCAAATAATGGATCACAACCACCAAACAGACTATATGCAGACTGTAAAGCCCATAGCATTGCCTTTGCAACAAAATCCTTGCTATTTCTAGGCCTCCCAGACCCTTGGACAACTGCCCTTCTATTGCTTATCTTGAAATACTGCTAAACACAAATGTTCACAGTGTTAAAGGCCTCAGGTCTGTAAGCTTGAACGCTAAAATCTTTGAGTTATGTACCGAAAGAGACACAGAACTCTCAATTAAAGGGATTGCTGACAATTGGCTCTTCTCTTCAGCTTGGCTTGGGCCTAGAGGGAGTCTATCAATCCCATTTGAGTGGTGCTCTCACTACCCTCTCAATGACTCAGAAAACATGGTAGCTTCCTAGGAAGAAGTCCTTCTGTAGGAACAGGGCAAGCAGACCAAAAGGTCTGACCTTAGGGACTTAAAACACTAGGTTTGGTCTTGGAACCAAAGAGGGAGACTGGATAATGACTTGGCTTTGTATAAGTCTAGGGCACAGTATGGGAGAATATTTTTATATGGAATCCAGAGCAGAGCAATGACTCTTGCTATCCTAAGTACACCTGGAGATCTTCCAAGATAGGTCTGGAGTCACAGTATCCTGGCACAGACTGTAACTAAGCAAGATAAACTGTTTTAAACAGGAGGTCCTCTCCACACTATGTCTGGAAGTTGCTTGTCGCAGCTGTCATAGAATCACAGAATCTCATAGGTGGAAGGGGCCTCAGTGGACCTTTAGCTCAACCCATACCTGAACAAGATCATTTTCTCCAACGTACTCAACCCAAGTGGTTGTCCAACCTTTGTTTAAAGACCTAGCTCAATGTGAAGGGAACTCCCCACATCCTGGAAAAGCTCATTCCACTTTTGAGTCACTCCAATTGTTAAGATTGTTTCTCTTTCTTTGAGTCTAGATTGGTTTCCTTGTTACTTCTATCCATTGCTCCTTGTTGTGCCTTCTAGGGCCAAGCTGAATGAGTAGCCCTTCAAATGCCTCAAGGCAGCTATCATTTCCTCCCTCTGTCATCTCTTCTCCATGCTCCAGTTCCTTTGACTGATCCTTACATGGCCTGGTCTCAAGGGTCCTTTGATATGCTGGCCCCTCTCCTCCCAATGCTTGTCAGGATCCTTCCTAAAATGTCAGCACCTTGAGCTGAACAAAAACTCCAGATGCCTGATCAGGGTTGAGTTCAGTGGGGCAGTCTAACACTTCTCTTATTCAGGACCAGAGGTCCCTCCTCATGCAGCTCCAATCACATTGGCTTGCTTGGCTGCTATATGAAATTGTCACTTCCTCTTGGGCTTGGAGGCCAGGAAAAGCTGCAAATCTTCAGACAAACTGCTACCTAGTCATGCATTCCCATCTTGTGAAGTAATTGTTGTTGAAACCAAGTGTCTGACTTTTTATGCAACATTATTAAATTTCATCTCATTCTTAGATTAAGTCCAATACTCTTGCTGGTCAACATCATTTGAGATCCTGACTCTGTCATTTAACATGCTAATTATCTCCCCTTCACCCTCCTTCCCCCTTGCAGGCTTTGTGCTGACAAATTTGATAAGTGTACCATTTATAGCATTATCATTGGTAAAAATGTTAAATGGCACAGACTCAGACTCAGGGATCTCTGAGGCACTCTACTAGACACCACCTTCAAAGTAAAAACTGACAAAAGTTGACTATTAATAATTACTTTTTTAGTCTAGTCATTCAATCAGTTACAAATCTACCTAACTGCTGTTATACACATTTTCCCAGAAGAATGTCACAATAAAAAAGAAAGAAAAAAAAGCACAGGTTGTCAGATGCTTTCATAAAATCTAAGTAAATTATATCTATAGCATTTTCCTGATCAACATCTAGTATCTACATACACTGCCTTCAGAGCCCTATATTGATCAGAATTCACCAGGCTCCACAGGGCAGCAAGCTATAAGTTTGAGACCTTGTTCTTTTCTAGTCCAGGCTGAGCTGTCTTCACCTAAAAGACACCTGCTGATATGGTGCAGTGTTTGCTGGTTTTGACCCAGAAGGCAAAGGAAAGGACAGGAGGAGAGAATTCCTAAGGAGAAACTACTATATATCCTCAGGAGAGGAAGGAACTGGTAAAGAAACAGCCAACTCAAAAACCACCCTCTTGTGTGGGACAACCTCTTATGTTGGCACTGAACACCTCTTAATGCCACCAAGTCTCTATGGCAACTTTTACACACAGGACACGGCTACCTTTCAGGTCATCTTTACTCCTGCTAGTTGGGAATAAAGGTGAGTGTAACCTCTTCCAGAGGTTCAGCAATAGATACAGCAATTGTGACGATCACTTGGGACAGAGTTTGTTACATATGGCCAAATTCTCCATCATTTAAAGGGTTGATGATCAAGTATATGTATGACCCAGACCTCCATGCTTATCGTTCCTCAGATTACCTTCTTTTTGGCCATTATCTGGGACAGAAATGAAAGAAAGCTCTCTCCTTGTTTATTTAGCACTTCGGTAGCAGTTCTGGTGAGAGATTATACCTTTGGGTAAAATGAAGTTAAAGAATTATAGTTAGGCTCTCATTTGTTATGGCTGCCAACAAACTAGGCAGAACAGCCTAGGATTTGGAAAGGGGAATGGCCTAGGGTTTAGTCTTTTAACATTTTTGTTGTTGTTCAGTTGTTTCAGTTGTGTCTGACTTTTTGTGACTCTGGGGTTTCTTGGCAGAGATACTGGAGTGGTTTGTCATTTCCTTCTCCTGCTTATTTTACAGATGAGGAAACTGAGGCAAATAGGGTAAAGTGACTTGCCCAGGGTCACACAGCTAGTAAGTGTCTGGGGCCAGATTTGAACTCAAGAAGATGAGTCTTCTTGACTCTAGGCCATGCTACCCACTAAGCCACCTAGCTGCATTAGGCATGTCATTTAATCTCCCCTACTACTGGTTTTTTTCTGAGGCAGTTGCCTGCCCCTGCCCCCCTGCCCTCCTAGAGTGATTATACATGATAGCACACAGAGGAAGTTCTTTGAGGTCCAACTTTTCTGAAGAAACATATTAGGAATATTCAAGGTATGGTTTCTAAGTATGTCTCAATATTGAGCTGCATTTTAGGTATGTGTACCTATGTGGTTATAAATAAACAATTCATCCCTGGGCATCTTCCCCTGTCCCAATCCCCCCTGACCTTAAGGGATGATCGAATCATTCTTTAGCTATCATCTACAGTCAGGTAAGACTATGTTCAGATAGCACTGTCATAAGCACTGACTGCACCAAGAAAACATTGTGCCTTTCTGTCTTACACTGTGTCTTTAGAACATGGGACCTAAGAATCAGACCACACCAGCCCTCTGTTGAGAACAGTTAGCTCAGGTGCAGCCCCCAAGTATTCTCCTCTGGAGTGATGCAGGGAGTCATCTTTTTTTTGGACTCAGTGCAGGAGCCCATAGTTCATATCCCACAGGAAGGAATGCCAATAGTACTTGGCAATCAATGGACTCTGTTTTCTGGAAATAATGTGAAATTTCTATCAAGTGTTATCTTCCACTTTACAACAATCAGACTTTTTCACCTTGGATGGTTAAACTGAAAAGTGTACCCTTAATAAGGTGGGCCTCCAAGGCGCCTGTCTACCCTGTCTGTGAACTGCCAAGTAGCACTTGTGTTTACTATCCATTGCTTCCAATTTTTCCTCTTATAGTTACGGCTAATGTTCCTTCAAGAACATCAAAAATATGCTTCAAGGCTTACAACAAAAAAAGAGAAACTTTTTAAAAGCTTCCAAATTTTACAAAGCCACTCTCCCCTTTTATTGTTATCTCTTCCGAGGAAAAATGTGGCTCACCTTTCCTTGCAAGGCTTAAATGTGTTCTTTCTTAGCATGGAGTGGGTCAGGTATAGTCTTTTTTCCCCCTAAATTTAATAGTTTTTCAATGAACAAAAATTTATTTTCAATTTTTTTTTTCATTTTCACTCATCTCCCACACTGGAAAAAGAAAAAAGAAAAAAGAAAAACAAAATCCTTGGAACAAATAGTCAAGCAAAACAAATCCCAGCACTGGCCTTGTCTGAAAAATGTTTTACTGTGCACCCTCTCTGCAGGAGGTGAGCAGAATCCTTCATGAGTGGTTAGCTGTTGTCTTATATAGAGGCCTGAGGCTGTTCTCTCAATCTAAGAGCTCCCTAGAGCTTTCCTGAAAAGTCTTACATGATTATGGAACTTGAAGGCCAGGCCTGCAAGATCAAGATTCTTAGCTCCAGAAACTCAGCAGGGTTCTTTCCCCATATTTGTCTCTTTCTGTTCACGATTTCCTGGGACATTTTTGAACTTTTCTGGGCACTGGTTCTGTGATTCAAGAAGTAGAGCCACTCCCTAATAGCCAGTTACTCACTTGATGTACAGTTATAGAGATGAAAGTGCTTTCAAATCCTGAAGAAAAATCTGTATTTCTATAAGACCAAAATAAGATTTTTTTAAAATAAGACCCAAAACCTCTTTGTTCTCACTAGGCTTCAATCTAGACTCTTCCATCATGCCCCATAAAACTCTTCATCCTGGAAGATCTCTTCAACCCTGTAATTTACAACTCAGAGTACCCTCACCCCCTCCCAGAACCTCCATTTAAACAGGGCACTCAGGCTAGCTATCTCTTTGTTTCTTACAAGGCTGAAATCCGGACATTATGCTCCAAGCCCAGGTATCTCCCCAACCCCTTTCAGCTCTCTTTTATGTTTTGTCCTCCCCCGTTAGAATGTAAGCTCCCTGAAGGCAGGGACTATCTTTTTGCCTGGATTTGTATTCTCAGTGCTTGGCACAGTGCTGTGCGCATAACAAATGCTTTACAAATGCTTGTTGTCAGATTGACTTTTGAAGACCCTGTCCACAAGTTTTTGTTGCAGTCTACAATTAAAGTCTATTATCCTTCCTTTGGAATATGCCCATAGCTTGTACATCCAGTTTGCTAAGGAAAAATACCCATGTCTTTCAGTTACCATGTTTTCATCTTTCAACCAGTACTCTTTTGAATATATATATTCATCGGATTGAATTGTTTACAGCAAAGCCCTTAACTATTTCCTGTAGAGTATACCCAGTGACAGAAAGCCCACTTTGCTACAAGCAAATATTTCTGGGGAGACAGAGAGTTGTCTGGTTATCACTTCAAGCATTTGACTGACCAGGAGCAGGAGAGGTAGGGAATTGAGAATAAATGAGAAAAAAAATGAGGAAGCTTGGAAAATGGCCCTGAGGGGTTTCTGTCTGGCTGAAAGGCAGTATTCCCTGAGCTAGGAGGTACCTAAATGCAACTGAATGGAAGCAAGACTTGGTCTCCAAGACCATGCCCCATTCTTCAGTAATTCTATTTGTTATTCTGAGGTACCAAACCATAGATGCAATGTCTGTAGCAAGGTTCACGTCAAGCCACAGGCTATACACCACTGAACTACAGGACTTGCTCTTCACTCACTTCCAGACTGCCCCTTTGCTGTCATTGGTCAAGTCTCTCCTTTTAGAAGGTCACTTCATCCATCTCTTGGGGCAGCTAGGTGGTGCAGCGGGTAGCGTGTCAGGCTTGGAGTCAGGAAGACTCATTTTCTTGAGTTCAAATATGGCCTCAGACACTTCCTAGCTGTTTGACCCTGGACAAGTCACTTAATTCTATTTGTGTCAGTTTCCTCATTTTTAAAATGAGCTGGAGAAGATGGCAAACCACTCCAATATTTTTGCCAAGAAAACCCCTAATGGGGTTGCAAAGAGTCAGACATGACTAAAAAAATGACTGAACAACAAAACTCATCCATCTTTATGAATCAGTCCAGATCCTTGTTACAGTCACCTGACCTTCAGGTCATTCTTCCTCCTTTCTTAAGGAGTTTAGCACCTGACCCAAAGTCTTTTTTTTTCCTCAAATGCTTCCCTCATATTTGGGCATTTTAATATACTTGCAGATATTTCTGTGAGCACTCTGGTTTTCCAGTTCACCAGCCTCCTCAACTCCCATGACTGATATTTCCACTTAACTGCATCCACTCATGGTATGGGCATATCTTTGATCCCACCATCACTCATAACTGTTCTGTCTCTACAATCCTGAATTCTAAAAATCCCCATCTCTAATTAACATCATGTGTCTCATTTCGCACCCACGGTCTACCATCCTTCTCCTGAGGGAAGGGAAATATACTTTACTATCAGACCTCTAAGGTCAAGATTGATCACTGCATTGATTGGAATTCTGATTATCTTTCACAATTTTGTTTTCTTTTACATTATTATAGCCATTGTGTAAAGTGGTCAACTGATTCTACTTATTTCTTTCTTCATAGGTACATACTAGTCTTCCAAGTTTCTCTGAATTATTCATATTCATAATTTGTTCACTTATTCCTCAATTGATAGAAACCCATTTTGTTTCTAATTCCTTGTTATCACAAAAAATTTTGCTATAAATATTTTGTATATATAGGATCTTTCTCTCTGTCTTTGATTTCCATGAGATATATTCCTATTAACAGTATCACTGGGTCAAAAGTTATTGATAGGATAGTGATTTTTTAGGTTTATTTTATTTTCCAGAATGGCTGGACCAATTTACAATTCCACCAAGAGTGTTCCCATCTTCCCATGGTACTTCCTACGTGGCATATTTGCATCTTTTATTGTTTTTGCCAATCTGATGGGTGTGAGGTGAAACTTTAATGTTTTTAAATAACTTGCTTTCTTTTATTATATTAACAATGTGGAGCATTCTCTCATATGGCTGTCAATCATATGCATTTCTTCTTTTGAAAATCATCACTTTTGAGCATTTATCAATTGGGGAATGATTCTTGTTCTTATGTACTTGTATCAATTCCCTATATACCCTAGATCTCAGATCTTTATCACACATATTTTTTTGTGAAGATTTTCCACCAATTAACAGCTTTTTTCTTATCCTAGTTGTATTTCATTCTTGTAAAAGCTTTTAATTTTTGTTCATATACAATTATCTGTGTATATGTTGTATTCATTCAGTAGAACATAAACTCCTTGAGGGCAGATTGTGGTTTTTTTCCCTTTTATTTTCCCAGCATTTAGCATAGTGCCTTAATAAATATTTTTTTGACTTGAATTGAAAAGACTAGTTTATCCCTGAGTGCTCTGCACCTGCTTGAATCATCGTGGCATTTCCCATTTCAGCAATCATTGCAGTCTGTGTGAGCTCCCCCTTTGTCTCCCGAGTCCACTTGGTGAGAAACGCTCCCCTCTGCTTCTGCATATGTCCGCAGCAGAGAGTAGGGATGGATTTTATCTCTTTATCACTCATCTTCAAGCAATGTTATCTTCCTCCTGTCTCCCTGAGGTGTCCTTTCTCACCACCTGAGCCCTTCTGAGATAGTAATTAAGGTGGCAATTGGGGCTTCACTGGCACTTAGGAGTTGTTTCATAAAGCCTTGCTTGCTACTAGAGAGAAGGTGAAGATTTCATGAAAAACACCACCACCATGTGGAGGCCCAGAACCTCCTTTCTGCGAGGATCCCAAAGCATCGAACTCGTGCTTTTCATGGTAGATAATGAACAAGAAGACTCTTGTTGAAGAAATGGAGGCATGGAGAAGTTAGATAATTAACTCCACAAAACAAGCAACCACTAGGCAGATTGAAGGGAACTCAATCACTCCTTGTTCTGAGGCCATGACTTTGCACTTGATAAGATTTTTTTTGCCCATTTATATTCCCAAGGCAACTATGAACTCAGGAAAGATGCGGAACTTGCCTTCTGTCCCTGCTAGACCCTGCCCTCCTTTTCTTCTTCTTTTTTCTCCTCTTCCTCACAATGCTCCCCTACTCCACAGTTCTTTTCTTTTTCTTTTTGTTTGTTTTACAAAGAGCCAGATTACTGACATCCTAGCTTGCTAAAAATCCCACCTCTCATGATTTCCATTGAATTTACCATTCATTTGTTTCATCTGGCACACAACTGCACAAGGACCACATGAAGTGTTGGTAGACCTAAAGGATTATTTTAGTTGTCCCTGGTCTCTGTCTTATCCTGGAAAGACTTTGTTTTGTATGCCAGCAACAGAATTCTGATCGTTGATTTCAGTAATTGATAAAGACACTTCTCTCTCGGAAGGGGATTAGCCATTATTTTAAAGGTCATGAGATGTTAGCCCAGAAAGGTCAGACTTGTGCCAAGGAAGGGTACCTGTAGTCAAGAAGGCGCTCCATTAGACGTGTGACAGAAGTGACAAATGAAAGGCCCGTTTCTCTCCATGTTTCCTGTTCAATTTTCTCTAGTAGACTGTTGGAGAGAAGAAGACAACTGATGAGACTTGACTTGCCATCTCCATGAAGCTGCAGAGACAGTGGGAGCACCCGTTTCTTGGAGACTCACCAAATGGAAGCCTTACCTCGGGTAGGGCCCAAACAGCTGAGTTCTATTCCACGCAGCAGGAAGCAAAGACAAGGAGGTTACTAAGCTGATAGCAAAGAATGAAGATCCGCTGTCCTCTCCCATTGCCCCAGAAAAGGTTATAAGGACAAGAGCTGTGCCCTAAAACAGATGGGCTCAGAGCACACCTAGGGGTGACAGTGTGGATCTGAACAGCAGAGATAGATAGAGACACAGAGACAGAAATGATGAGAGTGCATGCAAGAGATGAGAGAGAAAGAGAAAGAGACTGACAGAGAAAGAGGGAGGGAGGGAGAAAAGAGGAAATGAGATAGAGACAGAAGGAGAGAAAGGAAGAGAGGGAAGAAGAGGGAAAGGAAGGAGAGGGGAGGTGAGAGGTTGAGGGTGAGGGAAAGAGAAGGAAAGCTTGAGAGGGAGAGAGAGGGGAGAGAGAGCAGGGAGAGGGGAGAGAAAGAAGGGAGAGAGTAGGGAGAGTGGAGACAGAGGAGGGGGAAGAGAGAGGGAGGACTGAGTTGGGGAGAGAAAGTGAGGAAGAGAGAAGGAGAGAGAATGAGAGAATGATAGACATATTCAGAGCTATCCCAATATTGGCACTACTTCACAAAAACCATTCTGAGGAGTTCTGCACTCCCCTGCAGCCTGGAGGACCAAGCAAGAAGGCACCAGGGAAACGTCTGCTTTAGGAGAAAAGACATTTGTCTTAGTAGCAGCCTCTGGCACTGCACAGGCTAAAGGTTGGGAAGCTTTTTCTCATTTTGTTGGAAACAACAAACCATCATTTAGTTGTATGTTCTAGGATCTTGTCAGGAATCCAAGTCCTCTCTGTACTAATCTTTACAAATCATTATTAATTCTCTAATCTTCAATTGAATTACTGTCATTATATTACTTATTCAATCAACAATTTGGGAAATTAAATACATTTGTGAAAGGTAGCATGGAAAACTGGCTAGAGAACTGGCCTCCGAGTTGGAAAGACTCAGTTTAAGGTCTGCCTCTAATGCTTAGAGACTTCTAGACCCTGACAAAGTCACTTAACCTCTTAGGGTCGTAGGAAATTCTCTAAGACTATTAATTGCATGGCAGGTGCTGATCTTCATTGATGAGGGAAGTGTCCTTACAGTCTGCACCATTGAACTCACAGGTCTGGTCCAAAAAATAATAAAATTTTTGCAAATGTGTTTCTTCAGCAAAAGGCTTTCTGGCTTGTAATTAAAACACCACTTAAGTAAAAAAAAACCTTCAAGTTTGAAACCACAAGTGAGATGAGAGAGAACTTTTTTGCTATAATTATTTTCTATTACTCATTCTTTGGGATAATAAAAACAACATTATTTATTTTTAAATGGGAGGCCTCAGGGAAATAAGATCTTTTCTTCTTTCCTAGCAAATTACCTGATAGGATGTTTTCTACTACAGCACTGAGACCAATAGGAAAGTCATAAAAATCCTAGAATGTTGGAGCCAGAAGGAGGAATCTTAGAAATCATGTGGTCAGATTGCTTGTCTTACATTTCGCAGATCATGAAACTGAGGCCTGGAGAAGCGGAAAGGACTCTCCCAAAGACTCAAGTGTAAATGATGACTTAATGGCAAAGCTTGGGCTAGAGAACAAGTTTCCAGGAGCCCAGGGCTCAGTCTTTTTTTTTTTAATTCAATTACCAAGGATTTATCTTCTCTTCCTCCACTTCCCCCATTTCCCACTCTTCCCTCCCCCTACAAAAGGAAAAGAAAACCCTTTACAAAACATGCACAAAACAAATCCCCTTCTTGGTCATATCCCAAAATGTGAGTCTCTTCCTGTATGTTTAGTCCATTCTAGTGACCAGAAGGTGATCATTATCTAGCAGCAGAGGTTCCTCACCATTTACAAGAAGGACCTCATTCCTTAGAAGAAGAATTGGAGACTCTAAGCTGATCTCTCCTAGATAGAGCACCATAGTGCAAAAATGTCCTGGAAGGGGAAGAATCTCTTTCTTTTTACATTAGAGAGATTTTTTTTTTGATAAAAATCAAAAAACCCACCTAACTGGTTAATTCTTAGGAGACAAATACCAAATTGATGTAAGTGACATATTAGGAAATATAAGTAGGCAATTAAGTTGAAATAACAATTGTCTTGTAATTAATGCGACTTGTTAAGCCCATCATGGAAATACCCAGTTGTCCAAACATCCAGATTCCGCTCTAATTCAGGGGGAGGCTAGCTCTGGAGTCCCCACTAGTACTATCTGTTTTCTGAGTGTTTCAGATTGAAGATGCTGAGAGTGACCCTTAGCCCACAAGGGGCCCGAGGGCTGCCATGGCTTACAGCAGGCTGAAGAGCTCCCTGTAGTTCTCATCTCCTTTCCCTTCCGAAACCAAGCTATCCAGCTTATCGATTAACTCAGCTTCCACCTGGAGGAAAGAAGAGACTTCTTAGCAAGAGGACAATGGGGTAAAAAATTCAGCCACCACAATGGGGGGAATTGTTGTGCCTGGCTTTTGTTTTCTTCCTGGTGTCTTTCTTGTTCCAAATAAACTCCAGTGAGCCAGATTGTTCCATAACACTGACACCATGCCCCTGAGTCTGGAATACCACTTGCCCCATTTATTTCATTGAAAGATGAGACCTATAGGGCTCAGGTATCCTTTCCCTGAACCAAAGCAAAAAACAAACCTACCCTGGTGAGAAAGGCATTTTGGTTCTCAAAGAAGGCTCTGTTAAGCTGTTTTCTTTCACTTACAATAATATCCATATACTGTCTTTATGTGAAGAAACAATTTGGCTGGAACCTTATCCTCTCTTACCAGCCAGTCACAAAGGAGAGCTTGCTGGGAGACTAATCCACAGTATAATTGCTGACATTAGTTTGTTGTGATTATATGAATGAAGCAGGGACTGGGAGGCGCATGGAACTTCCCATTCAGCAATTCACCTTGAAGAGCACTCTTTTCACCAAGTAGATACACACTGGGATCTCAAATCTTTTGTGCTGATGCTATTTGCAAGTCAACTAGAGGAGTTGAATTTTTACCCAAATTCTAAAAAATCAGGTACAATAGCACCTCTGTCCACAAACCATTTCTTTCAAAGACATAATGCATAGCAACTCTGTTTATCAGCCTTTCACCACATTGAAATTGAGACAAGGATTGGTCATATGTGAAATTAAATCAAATATTGCCAATCTTGGGATTATTTTTGACTTTCTTCTCCCTCACCCTCTCATGGTTTACTATGGTTTATTGATGAATCTACTTCGACAACATCTTCCACATATGTCCCCTCTGCTCAGGTCCCACAGCTCCTCCTCTAGCACAGGCCCTCATCACCCTTCCCCCTCCCCAAACTGTATTGCTCTGTAGCCTTTTATCCTGGCTTCTTATCTTTATTCTTCACCTCTCCCAATTCATCCTTTGCATTGCGGCCACACTAACTTTGATCATTCCTCTCTGAACTCCAAAGCCCCAAACTCTCCTTTGTCTTACAATTACTGTGTCTATAAAGCAAACTTCCTATCCTGGCATTCAACATGTTCCTATAATCTGGTGTTATCCTACTTTTTTAGCTTCAGCTCATAGGCATATACACTCTAACCAAACTGGACTACTCTCTGTCCTCTGCACATTTGGGCACTTTCTAGTCTCTATGGCTTTGCCTGTGGTATTCCCTATACTTGGAATACTCTCCCCTCCTCCTACAATTGAATTTCTGCCTAATTTATAAAGCTCAACTCAAAGGCCACCTATATTCAAGGAAGGCTTTCCTGGTTTTCTCCCCTTCTTTCCCCCAGTTATATATGACCTCTTCCCCTTTGGGTCTTATGTAACATTTTATTTTTGATAATTCTCAAATGTACATATCATTATAATGATGTATTTTGTCATATCTTCGACACTCATATCTGAGTGGTGTCAAACCCAATGAAATGGGTTTGACATGGGGTCAATTAGAAATGGGGTTCATTAATCCAGACCTAAGGATCACTGCAGGCTTCCTGTTGACTTAATTTCAAAATGTTTTATTGTATTTTTATTTATTTTATTAAGTATTTTCCCAAATTATATTTTAAGGGCCACATGCCCATGGGCTGCAGGGATGACACCTCTATTCTATAAGCTTCATGAAGGCAATGACTGTGTCTTTATCATTTTATCTGTTCCAACCCACAGAAGAGAGCTCTGTACATGGTAAGTACTCAAGAATTATTTGTTGAATTGAACCTTCACAAAGCTGTATTTGCCTGTTTCAGACAGATACTCCTATTTGCATTTGACGAGACCAAGTTCTAATAGTACAAAGCCTTAATACTTATGACCACTTAAAAGAGTTTACCTTAACAATCTGCACAAGAAAAAACAAATAGGTGCTGGATGTGTATTGTCTAGATGCAACTGAATGGGCAGCCTATTGAGTTTGTCCATCTGTGTATATATCTCAAACAGGCATGGACAATGAGTTGGACCCAGAATTTAATAGGCAGGAGATGGTGGGTCAGATTGTATTTGGGAAACTGTGTAGTACTTTCACTGATTCCAATCTCCTCTCTAACTACAACAACAGCAAAACCCCCATCTTTTTCTACACCAATAGTCTTACAGATGACTTCAAAGAGTGGTCCTAAGGAGTGATGCATAGTAGTCCCAAACAGACTGCAGCATAGTATCTATGATGGCTAAGGTGCTAAAAGTGGCATAAAATATCACCCAGGAAATGTATGATTAGATTAGAAAAGGAGGTGTACTGGTATTTTAGTAAGAGTAAGGGAGAACAGATAGCCCCAATACTGCATTGTCATTCATTACATCTTAAAAAACCTAGAGGAAGGCCTCTAGCATGTTGAGTCTACATAGGAGGATGGGGACAAGAGCTACAAAGCATGCAAAGGTATGGCTGGGTTACAGTCTGCACCACTGAGAACATGGAACCTTTAATGTATTGAAATATTCAGACAGACAAAAATGGCACATATGCATTTCATGAAAAACTAAAGGAATATCCTTTACCTCTATAACAAGCTTCTCCAAGAAACATAAGGGAAAGATGAGAAACATATAATGAGTCTGAGATTATATATGAAGCCAGGAGGTATTCTAAAGGCCCTTACATAGGAAATTGAATTGGTTCTAGATTTCTGTTTCTAGAGATCTATTCCAAACCTTAACTACTTGAATATAAGAAAATTCACAAATCACAGATCACAGAATTTCAGTTAGGAGGATCAGTGAGAGATCCCCTCTCCCTCAAATTACAAATAAGGAAACTGATGGCCAAGGAAGGGAGTTGACTTGGTCAAGAAGATACAACTATTTTACAGAAACGCTGAGACTAGAACCCATGTCCTCTGATTCCCACTCGAGTATTCTTTTCATAACATAAATTCTAGCAGTACGTTTCCTGGATTTCAAATAACTGGTAAAAGAAGGACTAATGATGATTGGTATAGGTCTGACTTTAAGAAGAGGCCTAGTTCTGCTTATGACCAAGGAACCTGCTTTTTTCCACACCACACAGAGAGAACAGTTTCAGAGCACAGAGAGTAAGGAGGGACCTGGTGGAGAGATTCGGTTAGGCCCATTCATGCAGTAGGGCCTGGAACAATGAATGGGGAGAGTGCTACAGTATAAGAAGAAGATTTAGACAGAAACAATGACACATTTGCTAAACGATGTGAAAAAAAATTAGACTACTTCAATATTGCTGGGAGCACGAAATGAGGGAGAGATTTTTGGAAGAGGTCTAGAATTACAAAGAAGGGAAAACTAAGCCCCATGTCTCCAAAGTAAATGTATCTAAGCTAAATGAAAAGGGAATCTATTCAAATCTGTCACGTTATAATTCACAATATCGACTAGTTTAAGTTTCTAGCAATTGCTTTTATTCTGACCATTAGGAGAACTAACATTCCCGGAGTGAGATCTTGCTTTCCCCATTTATTCTCTACCAATGAGTTTTATATCCCAGGGGCTCTTCCCTGGATATATATCCAGACGAGGTTTTCTAACCACCAGAGTTGCAACCTTAATTTGAAAAATCAAGCTGTGTTTGGTTTGGTGAACACATTCTGTTTGCAATTGTTTTTTATGCAGGAAGAACTTAAGGGTCACCCTGCTGCAGAGCTACCTCTAGCTTGGCTCTGCTCTGTAGCACTGACTATGACAGAGTATAAGAGCTCAGCACTGGACTTTACACACAGTAGGAGCTCAGTAAAAATCTGTTGAATTGCAAAATTCATTGGTGACCTGGACTCTCTTGAAAAATAGCTTTCTGCTTTGTCCAGTAGACATGGGCTGATATACCGAGGCAGGAAAGGCTGATGCTAAAGGCTAAAAGAAGTGTCCTTCTTTCCTTAAGAGGCAGTTTACCTTTGACTTTGGATGGAATCAGAGGCAGACTCGGGTCATGGCCTGTCCTCTTCTGAGTTCTGTGTAAGTTATCCCTTCACTCGCCTATCAACTGTTAAGCCACTAATGAGAAATGAGACCAGAAAGAATGAAAAAAGGACAGGCTGCCATTGGAGGGGCAGAAGCACATGGCTTCAGGGGAAAGAAAAGACCTTTTTTATAACTGTTATTTCTCTTGACTTCATTTGTGATGAGCATCTTTGTCAGAAAATCCAAGAAGGCTACCTTTTGGAAATCTCCAGAGATCACCTAGTCCATCCCTTTGCCTTCAAGCTAAAGTTACTATTGCAGGAGGGTGATCCTCTGACCCTTCTTGCATTAAAAAAAATAAATTAAAAACTATTGGAAACAATACATACTCTACAAACCAGCCATGTAACTTAATATCCTTCAGGGAGGATGACACTTCCCGATTCATCATGATGACACTTTGTGTCTGGTGGCAGTCCTCCTGTTCTCCTTGAGATGAAATAATCCCCCTGTTTGTTCTCTCCTTAATCATACTTAGGCCTCTTGCTTCTTCCTACTCTTAGTCCTGGCCTTCTCACTGTATAAACAAGCTAGGAAAATTAGTTCACATTTTCAGATCAATCAAAATCAATCAAAAGAAAATAAACCTGTGAACAGAGCCCCAAATGTCAAATCCTTCTCTACATAATCTCTGTATCACACATAATCTCTCACCAAGGTGCAATGAACTTGGTGACCCTGCCTCAGGAGGTCAGGGTCTAAGAGAAGAGTATCCTGAATGACCCTGAGAAGTTGTCTTACCTGTTTGAAGTTGCCATTTTTCCTCTGCTCCCAGTCCATCATGTCATGAAAGATGGGGATCATGATGTTACGAACCTCTGGCTGTGGGACTAGTGTAACACCCAGAAAAGGACCAATCATTCCCGGAATAAAGTGAATTTTGTGTTCACCTAGATGGCAAAACAATTTATATTTGATTAATGTCTAATATTGTCCCCCTACATAGGACATAAAAATAGTAGGTTGTCAATAAACCTATTGGGCATTAAAGACTCTTAGAGTAAAGCAGATTCTCCATTTAAGAATATTCAAAGAACTAATCCTTTCACTATCTAATTTTCACGGGTGAGTTCATTGTGGTTCTGTTAGACACACTGTGTCCCCCTTTCCGGAAACCTAAAAGTAGTTTCTGCAAATCCCCTGAAACTCTAAACTAAATCTACTTTATTTTCAAATAAAAAAGTAGAATAGATATCGTCTACAGTGGACTTCTGTCTTTATTCTCATGATTAGGATGAAGGCCCTGACGCCATTCCAAAGACAGTCTATTTATTTAGCAAGTGGTGTTTATTGGTTTCATCTTCGTTAAAGAGGAGCCTTACTCTGCTTTTGCCTCTGAGTGCAAGTCACTGAACTGACCAGGCTTAAACTTTTCACCATGAGTTCTATGGAATGCATGAGCATCTTCCCGGGCTTCCCTCACTCCAGCGCTTGAGCATAACCTCCCAGGCAATCGGGCCATGGCACTACGTTAGTTGTCACTAGGCTGGAATAGAAACTGGGACACTCAAAACTAGGAACGCACTCCCACGTGACTTTTTTTCTCACATTTTGTAGTGAGAAAAGATTGGGTCCTTTATGAAGGGAGACACACACACACACACACACGCACACACGCGCATATACCCAGATCGATTGACCTCAATAAGGAATTAAATCCTTTGGAGGAGTTTTTCTACAAAATTAAAATATGCCAAACTCTTGGTTGGAAAAATAAAAGCTCCAGAGTGTGTTTGCTTTCTGTGATTGTGTCAGTGGAACAGAAAACAGGTATGTAAGCATATTTGTCCAGATCATGGCTGGGCTAACTAGCGATAGGAAGTCTTAGTCTTTTTGGACTATGAAAATGATGTCTGAGAGGTAACTACACCCCCAAAATACCATTATCAGTCTTTTAAAAAACCAATGAGGAGCAAACTGGTTTTGTGTGGGGATGCCTACAGTGGGGATGACTTTTTGTGGCCTTCGCAACATGGCAAAGATATCTTATCACCATATAAGGTCATCTCGTAGCAATCAGAAGACATCATTTACAGCAATCACCATGCAGCCTCCAAAGGCAGAAGGTAGCATCAAGATGAAACTTTTGGGGTTATTAACTGTGCACTGAAAAGTCTGGTAAATAGCATATTTTGAAAGTTTATCCAGTGAACACATGTTAACATGATGCTACAGATTCTGCATCTATAAGGGGGGGGGCTGATGATGGCAGTGATATCTTGAGTTCTTGAGGATTTCAGGACCAATTTGGGGACTAATATTAAGTCATTTCTGTCATAAAGAATTCAGTTGGATGAGAGAAAATTAGAATCCTGATGACGGATGGTCTACTTGGTGGCATTTACCCTGACACAGGTAAGATGTCAGCCACTTTTATTTTTATTTCTTTTTTGCAGAATTGTCTCCCTCACATCTTGCTCTTTCTAATTTTCCCCTGGACTGGGTTTGTGACTATAGCAGCTAAGTGACAGCAGAAGGCTTTGTGATAACTCAACCTAAGGTACCAGGGCCACGTACACAACTGAAAGCAAACTTTACTTGGTGAAGCAGATGGGACGTATCACCAGAACGACGGCTCCTTTGGTACTCAAACCGGTCACTCCCAATCTCATGGTGAAAAAATGATGACAGGTGTCATCCATCAAGGCAATCTAAAGATTCCTATTCTGAGTGTACCTTGGGAAAGTTGCAGTAGAAATTAGAACCACAGAAAGGCTGTAGTCCTCTGGAGGAGGAAAACCTCAAGTTTATGAAAAGCAAAGGTTAAATCAACCTTACAGACAGATCTGAAAGCTTAGGTAGCCCATAAAACTCTCTTCTCACATCCATCAATCCTGCAGTTTGGTGGCAGTGACTAGAATTGACGGCCTAATGAAACAGGGTGACAGAGTCATTTGGTATATATTCAAATTTAAAAAAAAATTAGTTACATTTCTTTTGGATGGAATCTAATTTCTCATCATCTTAAATTAATATGACATATTTACACAATCTAGACAAAGTTCAAATGAAACTTTAAAAAAAATAAACGTTGTGTATAATTCTTAATAACCTAACAACCAACTGAATAGTTTCACTTGGGAACCAACCTGGCAGAGTTCTCTCACTCATTTATTTTCTAATTGTTGGCTTAGGACTTTTGGCAACTTAGAAGGAACATCACTTCCAGTTATTCAGAGTAGGTAGTACATTTCAGAACCAACTATGTCCTCGTTGGGTCCTCAGAGCTTCCCACATCAGGGGTTCTTAACTTGGTGTCTGTGATCTTTTTAAAAATATATTTTGATGTGTGTATTTTAATATAGTTGATTTTCTTTGTAATCCTATATTTTATTTTGTGCACTTAAAAAACATTATTGTGAAAAGGGATCCATTGGCTTTATCAGACTGCCAAAGGTGTCCAAGATATAAAAACAATTTTGAATCTCTTGTCCCTGATGCTAAAGTAGTATTTTATTCCTGAATCCTGTCAAAAATTGCCTGTTAGGGGCAGCTAGGTGGCGCAGTAGATAGAGCACTGGCCCTAGAGTCAGGATGACCTGAGTTCAAATCCGACCTCAGACACATGACACTTACTACCTGTGTGACCCTAGGCAAGTCACTTAACCCCGATTGCCTCACCAAAAAAAAAAAATTGCCTGTTAAATTAAAAGCTGCAAAATCCATTTCCTTGACAGATGCGTTCCTAGAAAAGTGCTCTAAGACTAAAAGTAAAAACAAAACTAATATCATTAGATCATGCAAAGAAAGATATTCTTCTTTCTTCTTGTCTTTCTTGACTTTAGTTGTTGAAAATTAGGGCTGGATATTCTTGAGACTAAGTCTAGACTATATTCCTTAGAAAAACCCTTTTCCCCCTTACTCTCCTGGTTCATCAGTGACATTGAAGGAGGTCTAGCTTTTTTTCTCTGTCAGTTCCATACTTGCTACAGTCTCTACATGGTATGGCTAAAAACAGATAAAAGGCATGGCATGAATGTTATTTGATTTCATTAATATACATGGGGAGAGTGATGATTTCTGTTACCTATATAATTTGGCTGTATAAGACACAGAAACGAAGAAGAGGGAAATAGTAGAGACCTACCTAAGTTCTGCCACATGCTGAACAGTTCATAAGCCATCATCACTCGCATGTCACCATATCTGGGAAAGATAATACACATTCCATCTATTACTGGAATAAAGTACAGTCTGGCAATGCACTCAGCACAATGAAACCAGTCGTTAAGCCCTGTTTCCAAGCTTTGCAGAAGGTTACGTCTATGGTTTGCAATTCTTACACTTGCTCCTTGGGGATGATTCCATGATGAGAGTGAGTTCCCTGACCACATGAAGGAGGTCTTTCATGGAAATCTAACCACATCTGGAGCTGTGGTGGTGAATGAAGGATTAGGAGACAACGTCTTACTTGTCTAGAATCTTCTTCCTCTTGGCTGGAGTGACAATTTCTAGCTGGAGGCTTGGTTGATTTATGAACAGGACTGCCAGGCTAAAATAGGAATTCCACACCTAGAGAAAATGAACAGATGAAACATGTGACAATCTGAACACAGACTGCATTTTTTTTCCTGACCTTGTAGAGAGAGCACTTAAAATATAGTCATCTAGCACAGATTTTCGTATTGCATTTTTTCAGGTGAAGATTTTTGTTTTCAAATGTCAGTGCCGATCAAGGGGACTTGGTGTTGGAAGCAGTCAAGAGTGTTGAATCAGTTCCTGAAGTTAGGCACATGCTGAGTGCTGTATAGCACATCAACAGAGGGCATCCTTGGCTGCACTCCTTGCTCGGGGCACTGGTAAACAAATACGTGGTCCCACCTCAGCTCTGTGTATATCACGAGGTGCCAGTGATATACAGTGGAGAAGAGAGGGACCTGAGAAACCAACCTCAGTTTAGGCTTGCTGGTAGCTTTACAGGAGGCAAGTGAGGAACTACTGGAGAACATACCTTAAAATCGAAGTCTGTGTCTGTGAAATTCTTGTGTAGTGCAGAAGACAGGTACTGGACAGTAGTGACAATGATACTGCAGGAGAAAATGAAAAGGATTGCGTGAAATCCAGATAACAGCAAAGAAGGAGGGTTCAATCCATGAAACATTCAGGAATGGGGCCTGGGTCCACATCATTGTGTGATTCACATCCTTTTCCTTTAGATCCAAAATTTAACCTTCTACAAGGCTAAGGAGGAAAAAAAATCATTCTACCACATTGGAAGGATGATCTTATCTGTTTAAACGGTCAGAAAGAAATGTAATCTTAGCATCATTTTTAAGGTGGAATTTGTAATGGTTTGCAAATGGAATGCAATGTCAAGGAACTCTTCTCAAAAATAATTCATGTATGTTTAAGGTAGGACTATAAAATGAAGAGATGGATTCATAAGATGCATATGAAAATCAGCCTCATTACAGGGTGTCAGTGGGAAACAGTGGGAAACAGTGGGAAGGGTGCTAGATCAGAAGTCAGGAATTGTCAGCATTAGTTCTTCCATGGGCTAGCTGCGTGACCTTAGGAAAGTCACTTTCCTCCTGGGACCTGAGTTTGGCTCTCTGTAGTTGGAGCTGGTTTAGATGTGCTAAGGTGCATTTTAGACCTAATACTCTGTGATTCTACAATCCTAACATTGGAACCATTTGAGTATGTGGCATATTGATTCTCACTCTAAAGTATTTGGAGCACAATTTTACAATGTTAAATGGTGGCAGAGGCTTAAAGTTGTTATAACTTTGCTTTTAGAGCAAACTGTTTATTCTATCTACCAATTTGATCAAATGGAATATATGGAAAGTATTTTGCAAGCTTTAAAGTGCTACATAAATAAATACCAACTAATTGCATGATCCCAGCCCTTAGTCAGGAACACCATCCCCAACTAAACTTTGTTTCAATGGGAAAATATTATCCATTTCCTGACAATTTGCTTCATGATACAACTTATAGTAACACATTGTGGCAGCAAGTAGGGATTGTCTATTCACTTTCTTTTACCCCAGAAATGTCTAAGTCATACAGTGAAGCAAAACAGGCCTTTTAACATCTTCAGGTAACCAGCTCTTTCTCCTTTTTTAAAGTCGGTTTTTATTTTTGTTTCCATATCAGGACTAGAGTCTAACATTGGTCCCATAGGTCTGGCACTGGCTTTAGCAGATTCACACAGATGAAGATTGTCACATGCGATGTACACACGACATAGCAAGTAGCCTGACAGTTTGCCAGGGACTTTGTAGTTTCTTTTTTGAACTTCACAGCCATGCTGTAAGGAGGACGGGACAAGAATTATCACTGCCATTTGACAAATGGGGAGCCTGAGGGTCAAAGAGATTTATAACTTGGCTTGTAGCTGATTAGTGGATGACCTTGGAACTCAAAAATCCCTTTGTGTTCATTTTGTTTATATTTTGCATATAGTTATCTGTACACTTGGGATTCTTTACAGCAGGATCATGGATTTATAAGTAAAAGGGACCTTTACATCATCTAATCCAACTTTCTTATTTTATAGCAGAAGAAACCGAGGCCCAGAGAGAATTTAACAGTTGTCCAAGGTCACACAGGTAGCAAGTAGCAGAGTGGCATCTGAACCTAGGTCCTTTGATTCCAAATACAGAATTTCTAGTACATGGAACTTAGAATGGAAGTGTCTTGAAGGCAGGGACTTTGTGTTTATATCCCCAGAGCTTAGCACAGGGCCCAGGACATAGCTGACATTCAATCAATGCTTCATCAAATTGAATTGACCTGTACCTAGGCCTTTTAACTCCTGGTCCAGTGATCTTTTCTTCATACCACTCATCATGGTAAGTTTTAGTGCCGTACCTATTTCTCTAAAGATAATCGACATTAGCACTTAATGCCAATCTCAAGGCATATTCCTCCTCTCCAGTTTCAGGCACCTGTTTCCTTGACCCATCTATGGAAATGGGAATGTTAAAAGCTGAAAGTAACAGGCAATTTAATGGCTGAGAAATTTCTGATTTTAAAGGACCATGTATATTACGGTTGGTAACTAAGTGCTAAATGTTAAATACTCTACTAGGGAAATACTGCACATAATAGGTGCTCAATAAATGTTGGAACTGAATATTTGTTGTGATCCAGTCATTTTTTAGTCACATCCAACTCCATGACCTCATTTAGGGTTTTCTTGGCAAAGATACTGGAGTGGTTTGCCATTTCCTTCTCCAGCTTATTTTATAGATGAGGAAACTGAGGCAAACAGAGTTACATAGGATCATACAGCTAGTAAGTGCCTGAGGCCAGATTTGAACTTAGGAAGATGAGTTTTCCTGATTCCAAGCTTAGTGCTCTGTCTATTGTGCCACCTAATGGAAATTTAAATATTTGTTAAATTAAATCAAACAAAGTTTGGTAAAGAAAAAGATGCCAGGGGATTACTGTCTTTCACTCACTCTCAATAATAAGAGACAGCATCACTACTTTTCAGGGCTTAGCTTCAATTTGCAAAGCTGTTTTCTTCCCTCCCCCATCCTTTTTGGCTATCCCAACCCTATCCTAGTTCACTCATGTTTTTATCTGGGCTACTGTTTCTCTTAGCAGGGTTTGGTAGTCGGACAGGAGTTGTTGCCTGTGATGCTAGGAACTCATTCATTCCTCATCTAATCCTTCATCCATCAATAAACATGATCAGGCTGAATGGCCCATTGACACTCACTTGCTTGTGAGCAGCCTCATCACCATCCAGTCACGAGGAAAGACGCTCATCTTCATCAGGTTCCGAAATACACAGAAGATCTTGAGCAGGAACTCCTGGCAGAGTAGAAGGGCACAACACAAGGATCATTGGTATCAACACATCTCACCTGTTTTCTTCGACGCTTCCAGAATCAATGATGGGCCCTACCCACCTAGAGTCATTTTGTCCTTCTGGGATTTTGGGTGTCTCCCAACTTTGGTATAGGTGGCTTGGGGGCTTCCAATGGATCTAAGCACGGCCAAAGACTCTTAAGGAGGTACAATTATTGTGTTGGTCAGCTCATGAGCAGTACTGTGCATGCTTAGTTTAATGGCCAAAGGTCTACTGATGGGAGGAAGAAAGGGTCTGGCAGCAATACAAGTGGAATGAGTCTGTCCCCTTTGTCCATCTACTAGCAAGCTGTCCCTGGCTTGTACATTATGCTGCATTGCTTCTCATTTTTTTTCATGTTACCTAAGCCTTAGAATGCTTCAGCAGAAATAAAGCCATTCTTTTTTAGGTTAGGAACTTATCAATAGATTTCTATTTCTTTTCTTGACATTGGAAGTGCGATCTAGGAGATTGACTCCCTCATGTTAGTTTAGGGAAATACAGCCCATATGAGTGTCCCTGGGGCAGGTAGGTGGTACAGTAGATAGAGTGCTGAGTTTGGAATCAGGAAAACTCCTCTTCATGAGTTCAAATCTGGCCTCAGACATTTACTAGCTGTATGATCCTAGACAAGTTACTTAACCCTGCTTGCCTCTGTTCCCTCATATGTAAAATGAGCTGGAGAAGGAAATGACAAACCACTCCATTATTTTTGCCAAGAAAACCCCAAATGGGGTGATGAAGAGTCGGACATGACTGAAAAATCAACAAAAACAAAATGAGTGTCCTTGCAGTGAGCATTGCCATGGACACATATTCTTCAAACTCCAAGTCAAGGGAATGCAACTGTAGCAACTGTAGCCTATGTACCAGGGACTCTCCATAAAGCATCTCCTTGTGTGATAGACATCCTCTTAGAGGACAGGTAAGGAATGTGGTAAAGCATGAGTAACTAACAGTATAAGAAGGCTAATGAACCTTGGTGGCTCTACAGCTGGATAATGGCAAACATGCTGCCATGTTGTATTTGGGGAACTATTCTGGAAAACTCTCACTTGGTTCTGTGGGCCAGCTTCCGCTCTAGTGTTTGCTGCAACCATTTAAAGGATAATGGGTTAATGTGGCAATTGCCACTTTCCTGCTCCTGACATCTTCTTGGAATTGTGTATTAATGAAGGGAAATTATTCTATTAAGTCAGTCAGTTACCACTGGGGAGAACTTGACAACCTGCAGTTTGAAGGAGGCTGTAATACCAGTTCCAGAGAAAGGCTGGATATCTGTGTCTCTTCAACAATCCCATTTCATTTATTTCTTTGAAATACTAATCTCCTCCCTAAAAGCAGGAAACCGAAGTCAATCTTCTGTTATGTTGCCCTTAGTAGCCTTCAATGTCTGACAACCTCGCACACTGTTACTGTAGTATCCCACCTCCTACCTTTAGCTCATCCTTGCTCTGAAAGTTGTCCAGTAAATGTTGGAAATGTGTGTCTGACATCTGACGGAGCAGAGACAGGAGGCAGGACACATACTCCCCCTGTCAACCAATAGGACCATACACACTTAGTGCAGACAATCACAAGGATTATTTCCCCAAAGTCCACCCATGTCAAGGGGAAAGGAGTGGGTTTGAAATGGCCCCGATGTCCATGGAAAGATGGTGAAAACTATCAAGCTTTAGTGGTAGCTAGATGGTAGAGTGGATAGAGTGCTAGGCCTGAAGTCAGGAAGACTCATCTTCCTTAGTTTAAATCAGGCCCCAGACACTTACTAGCTCTGTGACCCTGGAAAAGTCACTTAACCCTATTTGCCTCAGTTTCCTCATCTGTAAAATGAGCTGGAGGAGGAAATGGCAAACTACTTCAGTATCTTTGCCAAGAAAACCACAAATCGGGTCACAAAAAGTCAGATACGACTGAAACAACTGAACAACAAAATCAAGCTTTAAGTGAGCTTCATATTCTGGCAGAGAAGGCTAGGTCTGCTCAAAACAGGGCACAATGTAATTACCACAATGTAAACAAGGCTGGACAGTGTCATCACATCACAGGATCATTTAAAAACAACAAGTCATCATGAGCAAGCATCTCAATGTGACAGACTTCTTTACAATTAGTTGATATACTATGTTTTTCCGTTAACAGTTTACATGTACAGCTCTAACTTCCCTTATGGCAAGAATTCTCCTCCCGCCTCTGTGAAGCAAAATTTCCCACAGAGGACTCAGATCTTAGAGGCCCTCTGTGGCTCCATGGGTTTCCTGAGGCTGAGTGTGCAAGGATTAAAGGGCTAGGCAGCAATTAGAAAAAGGAACCACACAGAACATTTAGAAAGCAGGAATCCTAAGGGCCCAAATATTGGGGATAAGTAAGGAAGCACTGTGGAGTGGAAGGCAGCAGGATTTAGGGATGAAAATTAGAGACCTTAACACTCCTTCAAGTCAAATAAAGCTCAAAGCAGCAAACAAATGCTGAAGTAATGGCAACCCTGGGGTAGGGCAGAAAATGAGTAAAGTAGCCAGAAGGATGTCTGTCCTGGAAGAGTTGTGGGAAATGACTTCATTGTGCATAGTTTTTTTAGCATTCTTAAGACCCCAGGAATCTGACCTCAACTCAATGTTCAGATCAAATTATCTTTGAGAAGAATTAAAATTGTTATATATGTGATGTGCATGTTTAAACATGAAAGGAACAGTGGAAAAAGAGTTGGCCTCAGAGCCAAAAGGGCCTGGGGTCAAGTCCTGACTCTGACACATACCATCTGCTCACCTTGGATAAGGTAGCTAGGTGGCTCAGTGGACAGGGTGCCTGGTCTGGAGTCAGGAAGATTCATGTTACTGAGTTCAAATCTGGCCTCAGATATTTACTAGCTGTGTCACCCTGAGCAAGTCACTTAACCATGTTTGCCTCAGTTTCCTCATCCGTAAAATGAATAGGAGAGAGACATGGCAAACCACTCCAGTATCTTTGCCAAGAAGACCCCAAATGGGGTCACAGAGAGTTGGACATAACTGAAACCACTGAACAACAACAAAAAAAAATCATTTAATCTCTTAGAGTCCCAGGAAACTCTCTAAGACTGCGACTGGCAGGATAGATTTATACTAGTGGAGGTAGTTTCCTCCACCAACGAAATCACAGGTCTAGACCTATGAGATCCTATTTGAAAAAGTGCTCAGCATTTTAGTGCTTGGCACACAGTAGGCACTCTATAAATGCTTATTCCCCTTCTCTTCCCTCCCCTCCCCTCTGATGGATAAAATTCTATTAAAGAATCACCCAGATTAAGAGCTTTGGTTTTCATAAATAATATCAACAGTCCATGCTCCTCACTTTCTCTCTTTGTGCATACGTTTATTTATAGGATTCCTCTAAAGCAAGAGAGCTCCCAAAGAGAAGTCCCTCAGGACATTGAGGGACCCTTTTACAGCAGCACACCAGCTACAGGCACAGTGTCTTGTTGAATAAGGCTGATGTTGTTTCTTTCTTTGCCTCTTCCTACTCCCCAAACTCTCTTCTCTTTCCCTGGAATGCTTAGAGTTTAGCCTTTTCCCACAGAGGATTTAATTCAAGAGATTAATTTTAATCCCCATCTGCCAAATGGAAGACTTTTTTTTTTTTTTAAAAAAAAAGAGGTGTCCAGCAATGCTGGCCTTTCCTGCTCAGAGCATCAGGACTAAAATGTCCATTCTAGAATTCCTCAGTGCCAGGTCTCTCCTCCATTCAGGAAGCCAGGTCACTGTTTCTCTACTCCTTCCGAAACACTAATCTCCCCTGTTTCTGTGCTAAATCATATCTGCATGGCTACTAATTTCTGGCAATTGTATATTTCTATCTCATTGTTATTTTTGTCCCAAATCTCTGACACTTGAAGTTTAATGACTGACACTGCAGACAGAAGCTTATAAGCTTCCCAACAAAGGCACATGATGATTGAGCATCATTTTCTCTTGCACACGACACAGACTTATGCTAAGTTAGTATTCTATGATGACATCCAGTAGCAGATTAGGAAGGGATTTTCTTTTTCATCCTTCTCAGCATGGTACATGGGAATCTTCTCTAACTGTCTCCACACCTTGGAAAATGACTGACCCCAGAGGCCAATGCCAGAAAACATCAGGAAAATCAAGAGAGCTTTTCCTGGCACCAATTCATTTTTGCTTCTCTTTTAGAGAGGCATGAATCTGGAATTGTGACTGGTTTTCAGAATAAAGAAATGCCATGTGACTCAAGAAGGAAAGGAGTCATGCTCTGATCAACCATGCAGGAGAAATGGGCATGGGATGAAGGTGGGTGGTGATAAGGGTTGGGTGAAGGAATTAAAGGTTAGAAAAGCAGGCAATAGAACCTGATTGTTAGTTACTAACAGTGATTTCGGCTGTGCACTGCGGGCACCGCTGCCCTCTTACCGCCTCCTGAGACTGTGATTTACTCATGATAGTGAGCAGAGTCTGTAAGAGCACATCCAAGAGGCTCTCCACCATCATTTCAACCTCCTCCACTACATCTGCTTCCTGGAGCAAGCAGCAAGAAAGCAAACTGTTAGCACTGAGCAGACGGAGAAAGCCCAGTTGGCAGCACTTACGAAAGTAGTCATGTTAGGCACTGTCTTCATGCTAGGATTTTCCACACCTGCACTGCAGCTGTGTTAGAGTTAATGGCCAATATACCTGGAAAGACTAGGAGATAAGGGGAGAACCCCCTTAGGTGTTTAGCAGAGCATTCATACTGAGGACAATCTCAGTGCAGCCTTGTCTTCACTCATCAAACAAGGCTGAATTATAGGCAGAGGTTTAGTTACCATAGTGGGAAAGTAAAAGTCTGATTTTAATATTTACATTGGTTTCCCTGGAAGAAAAGCTATAAAGGACTTTTAACAACGAATAAAGCAAATTCAAATGATCAGATCATCCTCTACCCAGCAAAACAACAATTGTTTAAGCATAGAGCAATGGCAAATTTATCACTAACAAGCACTGAAACATTTAGGTCCCTTTCAGGTCCTTTTCCCTCTCAGTTTTCTCCTTGGGAGATACCAACCATTTCCAACTCTTTGCCTGCACTTACAAACCTCAGTTTGGTAATTAAAGTCCCTCACAACACAATCTACCCTTCAGGCTCATTTCAAATGACTTCCTTCCACACACTCTAAGGTCCAGTCAAACTGGTCTTTTTACTGTTTTTCATATATGGCACTCCATCACCTACCTCTGAGCTTTGTTCTAGCCCTTAGAACACACCTAGAATGCATTCCCTCCTCAATTCCACATTTTAGAATCTCTAGCTTCCTTCAAGAGTCAGAGCAAATACCATGTTCTACACAAAACCTGTCCTGATTCCCCTGCCTGCTCATGTTCTGTCCCCTACTCGAATCAGTCTGTATTTACTTTCTGTCTACATGTGTACATGTTGTTTTTCCCAGTAGAATGTAAGCTACCTGCATGTATAGAGAACTTCCCTTTTGGTTTTGTATCACCAGTATCTAGCAGTGTACAGCACATAGTAGGTGTTTAATAAATCTTTACGTGCTTGACTAATTGCCATGAATTGGTCACATCTCTACTTTTCTATCTCCCTTCCTTGTGTCCCATTATCTATATCTATGTTCTTTATTTCTACAAATTCTACCCCTATATTCTTATTATCATTTCAAGTTAGCCTTGGGAAAGATGGAATACCCTTCCTTCTCAAGCACCCACTAATCATTTTCCCATTTCACTATACACTGAGTATTGGAATCATCTTTGGTCCTTCTCTAATTCTCTCACATTTAGTCTTCAATCCCATTGTTAATATTTAAAAAAACTTTACTTCTCAGCTAGATCTCCTTGTCCGTTAGAATTTTCTCTACTATTATTGGCCTAAACATCATCTCACTAGATTATACACTTCATAAAAGCAAAAACTATGTCTTAATTATCCAGCACTGTGCTCTGCACATCACATGCACTTAAAAACTATTGAATGAATTCTTGGTTATCAATTTGATCACCCTCATTCTAAAAACCTCCTACAGCAGTCATAAGTGACCTATGGCACATGAATTATTTTTTTCTCTCTCCTTTCTTCATTTTTCTTCTTCTTCTTCTTCTTCTTCTTCTTC